TTCCTGCTTCTGCCCACCCTTTACTTACCACAGTCCACAGGCCCCTTAGTTGTTCTGATGCAACACCAGAACTACGTGGTAAGTAGCATCAAATATCTTAAGGGTGGATGTCATGAGGATGGAGCCAGACTCTTCTCAGGGGTGCCCAGCGCCAGGACAAGGGGCAATGGGCACAAACTGAAACACAAGAGGTTTCAGTTGAATGTGAGGAAAAACTTCTGTACTTTGAGGGTGACAGAGCCCTGGCACAGGCTGCCCAGGGGGGTTGTGGAGTCTCCTTCTCTGGAGATATTCAAAGCCCGCCTGGACGATGTCCTGTGTAACATGATCTAGGAGAACCTGCTTTAGCAGGAGGGTTGGACTCTACGATCTCCTGAGGTCCCTTCCAACCCTTGCCATTCTGTGATTCTGTGAAAGTGACTTGGATTAAAATAGCCTCTACCTACAGGAAAAAAAACCCAACCAAACAAAAAAAACCCCAAACCCATATAAGAGTGTATTAAGCCTAGATCATTTTAATAATCTGGGTTTCAGGGTGGCCTTGCTCACCTCTGCATCAGTGTAAGAAAGAGGATTTGAAACCCTGGCAGGGTTAGGAACGAGCAGCTGAGGGAAGAGAGATGAAAAGGTGGAAATTCAAGGCAGTTTCACCACTGAAGAGAATACAGGTAAATCACACCTCAATTTGGGAGGGAGTAGTGAAACGAATCTAGAAACCATCTTTTTGACACCAAACAATGGACCAAATATTCTTACGTGGTGGTAACAGTATGTTCCATGGAGGCTGACAGCATCCAGCACATGCCAGGGATGTAAACCAGAGCATTACAGAGGCAAACATCGCTACGGATTGTAATTCAGTTCAAGTTTAAGACACCTAACTTTTGTGTCCACATATGCAGTGTCTCAGGTCCCTTTACAATCAGTAGAAATCTAGGACTCAATTCAGTTGCCATGGCACGGGCGCCTAATGCCACCTGAGATGCTCTGCCATCTCCAATACACTCACCCAAGACTGGCAGACGTGATGGGGCGGGCATCTAGGAGACCCGCGCCTTTGTGGGATGGAAGCTGGAGGCCAGACAGGACACTCACAGGGTCTAACATGACACTAAGCACCTATATTCAGACAAATTAATATTATTTGAGTTAAGACTGCAACGGAGTCCGGAGAATGATTCTGCCCAGCTGACTGGCTCCACTGACAACTGTATTTCCATTGACTATGGTGGGAGCACAGGCTTCGAGCACATGCTTTTCTTATTTTTGAACTGATTCTCACTTCACCCTGACTTTGATTCAAAGAGGAATTTCCTTAATCTTCTCAGACCTAAAACAGGACAAGACAAGACTCCTTGCGTCCCTTTAGAAAATGGAGAAATACCAGGACCAAATCCTTACACCCAGTGATTTATTAAAGAATGCCTTCTACCTGAGAATAAGAGAGGGAGGAAGACTCAGCTATTGCTACTCAGAAGATACTGACTTCAGTATTAATGCTACAGGTACATCTAGATAAATAGAAAACATAACAGAAAACACTAACATAAAAAGGATACAATAAATAACAATAACTCTAGTTTATACTGCTTGCTGTTAAGCCAAAGCTGTAGGAATTTTAAAATAACTTGAGTAAAAAGATAGTATGATTTCCCAAAGGAGAAAGTGTCTTCTACCAACATAAGCAATTGATTACAGCTCTTATTTTAGAGGTAAGTATATATTCCTGTGTATGTATCAGTGGAAAATATCTAATGAAACAAGACCTGCTCTCAACAAGAGAGTAGCGCAGGAGTCATGTACAATGATACTTAAGGTAGATTAACTCACGTTATAGGAGTTTCATCTAGTCAAGAAACGGCAATGACTATATAGTGAGATACATACATAAAAAGATTTACATCTACTTATCAATACTCACCTGCATCTCATACTTCAGGGTCATGTGGAAGCACCAAGATCCCAATCCCACAGCTGAAAACAAATCAAAACTACAGTCAGCACAAAAGTCTGCACGAAAAACTTTCAGGTACATTAACTTAAATGCATGACCTTTACTGGGGAAAAAAAAAAAAATCAGAACATCAGCATGCCATTTCAGGGACAAAAGCCCAGTTTTCCACAGCCTTCTATTTTATACTTTAGTCATCAGTGATGCCCTTG